CCAGCAGCAGCGCCCAGCAGCCCGCCATGGTGCCAGCGGTGCCGCGCGCCGCCCGCGCGCCCCTTTAGCCCCGCGCGCTTGCCCAAGGCCGCCTTGCGCCACCGCCTTGCGCCACCGCCGGACCGCCCCTCCACGGGAAGACGGGGAAGAGTGTCCCAACTTTATGTGGTGTTGCATTTGGGAGCAAGGACATGGAAAAGTCCCTCCGGCGCTTCCCACTGCTCCACAGCAATGCCATCCCGGTGTTTTTTGGCAATTCTTGGCCAAAGTGGCCGCAGTTTGACGCTGCCGTCCTCGGTTTTCCCACTCCACCGTCCCAGCAGCATGGGAATCTCCGGCGTGTCCTCCAGTGCCGCGTGGCAAAGAGGGGTCACCGACAACGCACGCGCTATAGAACCACGTATGCACATATACATATATATATATACCTAAAATATACACAGTACCTGAACATATAGACAGCCACATATACACCCAAAGGAAAAGCCCTGTGGTGACCAGGATGGATGGGAAGTGCGGGATTGGGAGGGAGGGAAGGAGCCGCAGGGATCTCCGACACCCCAGGGGCAACCCGGGATCGGCTCCGGTGGAGACACGGGAAGGTCCGGCCGCCTTCCCGCTCCTCTCGCCGGCGCCGAGGGGGACGGTTAGTGTTGAGGGGCTCCCGTTGCCACCGGTGCTGCCGCCCGAGCCCCATCCGGCTGCGCCTCCGGACACGGAGCACGGAGCGGGAGGAAAGGGGCTGGCGAGAGAGCCCTGCTGGATCACGATTCCCGCTCGTGCAGCAGCGACGCCGAGGGGTTTAACGGGATGAGCGATGCCCAAAGGCCCCCGAAATCCCGGAGCTGCCACGCAGGCTCTGGTGGGGCCAGGCAGCCAAGACCAGGCCCTGGGGCACAAAATGGGGAAAAACCCCAAGATTTTGGGCTCTGTGGCCACGGGAGGCCATTCCCGGCCGCCCAGCGGCGCCTTTCCAAAGCTGCCGTAAAAACAGGTGACATTGCTGCTCCTCGCCCGCCCCGGCCGCTTGGAGCCGGGAAAACCTGGCTTTTCCAGCCAAATTTAATGCGAGGGATGGCTTCCCCCCAGCCCCTCGCCCGCTTGCCTAACGGGAACCGTTAGAGCTGTTGCTCCGCGCCCGTGGGGCGGCCCCTTTTCCCCGGGGTCTGAGGAAACCGGCGCGCGGCCGAGGCGCCCGTTGCGCCCCCTTCCTCGTTTCCCCATCGCGCGGCTCTTGCGGAGGAGTTTTCCCCATCGTGTTTCTCCATCTCCACGCGTTGCTGCTCCGGGAAGGCCCGTGCGAGGGGCAGAGCCCCCGGGGGCTATTTCTGGGTTAATAAACTGGTGGATTGGTTAAAGTGCCCCCCGTGCTGGGCAGCTGGCCGTGGTAAAAGAAGGGAGAGATGGACAAGGTAAAGGGGGGAGAGGGAGGCAGCTGCGTCCGGCCGCTGTCCACGCGTTGGCCCTGGATTTGGGGGTTCTTTGATCGTCCGGGAGCCCCCCCAGGGCAAACGCCAAGGGCGGGGATCGTGTCTGTGGAGTTCCTGTGTGTGTGAGGGACACGTGAGCACCTGCAAACGGATCCCGGCGACGGCGCGGGCGCTTCCCGAAGCCGGGCTCGCGGCTCCGAAGGTACCCTCGACCCCCAGGAGGGCCAATCCCACGTCCCGGCGCGGCTCACACGGAGAGCAGCGGCACGCAGCCCACGCCGACGCCGCCTTCGTGGCACACCATGGGAGCCATGAACGTCCAGCGCTCGCTCTCGGGGTCGTACATCTCCACGGAGCTCAGGTTGGACTGTCCGTCGTAGCCGCCCACGGCGTAGAGGCGGCCGCCGCTGGCCACGAGCGACACGCGGCTGCGGCGGCTGTTCATGGGCACCAGCAGGTACCACTGGTCGGCCGCGGAGCTGTAGCCCTCGGTGGCGCTGAGGAAGGCCGAGCCGTCGTAGCCGCCGCACGCGAAGAGGCGGCTGCCGAGCGCGGCGGCGCCGTGCCGGCACCGCTTGTGCACCATGCTGCCCACCGCGTGCCACGTGCCCGTCGGCTGGTTGTAGTACTCCACCTGCGGCACAAGGGCACACGGCGTTAACAGGGGGACCTCGGAGGCCTCCGAGCTGCTCCCCGGGGACCAGGAGGTCCCAGCAGGAGGTGGGATCCGTCTGCAGGGCGTCCAGCTCAGCAAGGAATCGGGATGGGAGAGACTGGGAGGTTCCCGGTCTGGATGGACATCAGGCTGTGGCCATAACCTGCAGCTCCCGCAGAACCTAGGAATGGTTGAGGCTCCCACATTCCCAGCTATGGAAGGGGCATTGAGGCCGTCCTTCTCCCACGGCTCTGCCTGGGAAGCGGCTGCGGAGGCTGCCGGGCTGTACCGGGCTCTTCTGCAGCCCGTCCCGCTGCCCCAGCCGCATGAGCGGCGTCAGCCCCGCGTGTATCCGCAGGGACCGCGGCCCGCAGCCCCAGTGGGAGCACGGAGCACCCCCAGAATGGCTGAGGGTGGAAGGGATCCCTAGGGATCATCCAGTGCAGCCCCTGCTCCAGCACGGGGCACCCAGAGCACTGGGCACCTGGTGCCACCCAGGTGGGTTCGGGAGCAGGAGCCTCCGCAGCCTCCCTGGGCAGCCTGTTCCACCTCCTTCCTTCCATGTGATTCCCTCTTCCCGGTGTCCAACCCATGTTGCTCTGTTGATGAGCAGAGGATGGAAGCCTGGAGCACAGCAGCCCAGGCACTACAGGATCCCCGTCTTGAATCTCGTTTCAGAGCTAAACAACCTCTCCAAGTGCTTCCAAACAGGCAGAGGAAGGCACCTGGCACCCAGGAAACCTCGAGAGTTTTAGTCCAGCTCTCAGCGAGTACCAGGACAGCTCATTCCATCCTTAGGAAGAAGAAGGGTCCTCTTCCTTAGTGTAAACACTTAGGAAGAGGATCCTCTTATTGGGAAGAGGATCCTATTTATCGGGAAGTAAACACTTCCCAGTGTAAACACTGAAGGTAATGCAGAGTTTGGGAGCACAAGGAAGGGGCAGGACCCCTTCCAGCCCCCGTTAGTCGGGGCCTGGGGTTTGGGGAGGCCGGGCCTTGCGGGCACTTACACTGCTGAAGATCTGCAGGCCGTCGTGGCCCCCGGACACGTAGATGCGGCCCTCGAAGACGGTGACGCCGGCAGCGCTGCGGTTGGAGCTCATGGGGGTCACCACCGTCCACCTTGCCGGGGGAGAGCAGGGATTAGCAAGGGGCTCCCACCGCCACGGAGCAGCTCTGGGGATCACACCGAATCCATGGCCTTTGCCAGGCCTCTCTCTCAGTCATTCTCGCTGCCTCTTGCAGCAAAACCGCTCGCTCGCGCCAAGGAAAAGTTGCTAGAAGGGGCTACCACACGCCTAGGAAGACCCAACGGTTGCCCAGGAAGACCCAACGGCCCCCTAGGAAGACCCAACGGCTCCCTAGGAAGACCCAACGGTTGCCCAGGAAGACCCAACGGCCCCCTAGGAAGACCCAACGGCTCCCTAGGAAGACCCAACGGTTGCCCAGGAAGACCCAACGGCCCCCTAGGAAGACCCAACGGCTCCCTAGGAAGACCCAACGGTTGCCCAGGAAGACCCAACGGCTTTGCCACCTGTTTCTGCCCGGGTGTTTTGCCCCAGGGCTCCCCTCGGTGCCCTGACCCCACGTTGGCTGTGGGAGCTCCTACCTGTTGGTCTCCGGGCAATAGGACTCCACGGAGTTGAGGGAGGAGTTCCCGTCGTAGCCGCCGCACACGTAGATCTGCCCGTCCAGCACCACGGTGCCCATGGCGCTGAAAGGAGGAGCACGAAGGCCGTTAGGGTGGTGGTGACACGAGCCAGCAAAGTGCCACAACCTCCTCGGCCCACGGGCTGCAGAGAGGGCCGCGCTAGTTGGGGACAACCAAGTCCCCGGTGGGGAGGGTTAGGTACAAAGTGCCCTGCTCGAGGTGCAAAATCCCAGAAGGGCTGAGGGTGGAAGGGACCCCTGGAGCTCCCCCAGCGCAGCCCCTGCTCCACAGGGACACCCAGAGCACGGGGCACCCGGTGGCACCCGGGCGGCTTGGGGAGATGCCCAGAGCAGGAGCCTCCGCAGCCTCCCTGGGCAGCCTGGGCCAGGGCTCGGGCACCTCCCAGTGCAGCAGCTCTTCCTCCCGTGGAGATGGGACCTGCTGGGTGTCACCTTGTCCCCACTGCCCCTTGGCCTGCCCCTGGCCACCACCGAGAAGAGCTCGGCCCCTTCCTCCCTACATTCCCCCTTCAGATATTTATACACATTGGTCAGATTCCCTCTCAACCTTGTCTTCTCCAGGCTGAACAGGCCCAACTCACTCAGTTGCTCCTCGTACGAGAGATGTTCCAGTTCCTTCGTCATTTTGGTTGCCTTCCACCGGACCCTCTCTAGAAGGGTCCAGAGCTGCCCCCAATGCTCCAGGTTTGGCCTCCCCAGGGCTGAACAGAGGGGCAGGATCAGGATCCCCTCCCTGCCCTGCTGCCAACGTCCTCCTGATGCAGCCAGGAGCTCGTTGGCCTCCTTGGCCACCAGGGTCCTGCTGTCTCATGGTCACCTTGGTGTCCACCAGGACTCCAGGTCCCTCTCCATGGAGCTGCTCTCCAAGCAGCCCATTTGTCCCCATCGAAAGCCCGAACCAAAAGCACAGGCAGGAACAGGCAGCCAGGTAGAAATTCCAGCATCTCTCTGGCTTCCTAGGAAGGGCTTCATCCCTGTTGCTGCTGCTGGAAGGGGACTGGAAAACTCCTGCAGACACCACAGTCGCTGCTGAACGTTACCCTGAGGTTTCTGACCCTCCTGTTGTGCTCTCTAAATGACATATTTGGCCCCAAAGGTGCTCAGATGGGCTACCTCAAAACAAGAGGCTGGAATTCCACCTGGAAACAGTCCCAGGATGTTATCCAGGCTCTGCCTCCGAGCCAGGAGCTTTGGTCAAGGATCAAAATGACCAGGAATCATGTGGGTGACACTGTCCTGCAAGGGCGTGTGATGGCAGCACTGGGAGACACTGTCACTAGGAACCTACGTAGCTGCTCACAGCTCCTTCTTCCCAACCCACCAACGTCTGAAACCACAAAACAGCAGCAATAACAGAAAAAAAACCCACCCAGACAAATGGTTATGGTGAAGAAGCGCCGCAAGGCTTGCAGAAACACGAGCAACTTAACAGCTGGGCGGGAGGGCAAGGAAAACCACAGCAAGAACCCTGGCAAGCAGGAATGTGTTTAGCTGAGAGGCGGCAGCGGTTGCCGCGTTGTGGTGGGCAGGACAGAGCCACCACACGGCTTCACGGTGGGGTTTTCAACACAGCTCGGGGCAACGGCAGCCGCCAAGGAGGTCCTGAGGTTCTGTTCTTCCAGCACTGCCCCCTGCTCTGCTGGGGACTTCTCTCTGCAGGCTGTAAAGTCACTCTTCTCTGCTCCCCTCCTGGGAGTGTGTCTGCTTTCTGGTGAGGAAAAACGCTGCCAGCACCACATGGAAAGGGAAGGAGGGGGTTATTTCAGCCCCTGGCTACACAGGGGAGCTCCCCACGGCATTCCTGCCTGGATCTACCCTCTAGCATCGCAACATAAGGGCACGGGGCTCCGTCCACTTCCCACGAAACTCCAGCACAAACCTTGGCAGGTCTCTTCAGCACAGGGAAAATTCCCTCGCTCGTTTGATTTCGCTCCCAGGTGCCACCAGAAATAAGTGATCTCTGCAATTTGCAGCCCACGCTCTGTCACTTCTGAGCTGTTTCTTTCTTTCTTTTCTTTAAAAGTACCAAGATCTCGATGTCTTTCCTCCTAAGCTGACGCCTGGGGAAGCTCTGCAGCCTCCCCTCTTCCTTGAGGGCAGTGCCTGGGTTTGGAGCAGGCACCTCACAGAATCCCAGATGGGTTGAGGGTGGAAGGGACCTCTGGAGATCGCCCAGTCCCACCCCCTGCTCCAGCAGGGACAACCAGAGCACTGGGCACCTGGTCGCATCCAGGTGGGTTTGGGAGATCTCCAGAGAAGAAGCCTCCCTGACCAGCTTGTTCCACCCTTCCTTCCATGTAATTCCCTCTTCCCAGCATCCATCCCAGGACTGCTGGCCTTTTTGCTCCTTCCCTCTCCAGGGAAGCTCTCTCGTGGCCTCCAGCACCACCCAAGCCCTCTCCATCACCCCCTGTCCCCACTCAGCTGCCCACCAAGGACCCGTCCCAGCGAGCGAGCCCCGCGCACCTCCGCTTGCTGTTCATGCTCTCCACCTTGGACCACGTGTCCGTGTCGGGGTTGTAGACCTCCACGGTGCTGAGGCGCAGCTGCCCGTCGTAGCCGCCGATGGCGTAGAGGAGCCCGTTGAGCACGGCGACGCCGACGCGGCTCCGCGCCGTCGTCATGGGCTGGCACTTCTCCCAGCGGTTGGCCACGGGGTCGAACACTTCCACCACGTTCAGCGAGTCGCCTGCGTAGAAATTTGCTACTCACGTTAAAAACGGGGAGACCGATTCGGTAGCATTAGGTGGGAACCCTGTTAGCAAAAGCACCCGGGGCAGATGGATGGCAGGGAGACGGATGCTGATCTGATTCAGACCTTAGCTGCTGGTTTTGGGGAAGTTGGATCAACAACAGTTGGATCAGAGGCAGTTCCCAGCCACAGCTCTACTCACCTACAAGGAGAACCTGCTCATGGTGCATCAAAAAGTTAATTAGAACTGCCCTCTGCGACACAAAATGATGATAGAGTGCTTGGAGACTGGCCCATTCCCTGAGCAGCAAGGCCCTAAAGGCCCTGTAGGGTGGGAGCAGGGCTGGTTACAACCTCAGAAGGAACAGGAGGTTTGAGAAGTGACCATCTGTGGCCACCTTGAGCACTTTAGTGTCCCTTCAGAAGACAGAAAGGGCTGCACAGAGAGGGGAAACTACCCCAAACTTTCCATGGGGGCAGAAGAGGACGATGCCATGGCTTCAGTGTGCCACTGCCCCACGCTGCGGGCAGCAGAGGTGCAAGGTACCTGCCGAGTTGAGGCCTCCGACGGCGTAGATGAGCCCCGCGATGGACGTGCAGCAGCGCGGGCGCGTCTTGAACGCCGGCAGGTGCGGCCGCCGCTCCGGCATCAGGTGATAATCCTTCGCCTCGTCCACAAGGTCCCTGAAACCAAAGGCAAAGACACATCTGGAGAGAGCTCGGTTGAGCCTGCTCTTTGCTAGGACAAAGTCTGGACCATCTTGAAGCAGATGTTGGTTTAGGCGACGGGCTTTTCCCTCCCCAAAAGGGCTGATTCTAGTGAAAGAGCGGATTTCTGACCCACTCCAGAAACGGGTGGTTCTACTCGAAGGCAGCCTAGCCCTGTCATTAGGTTATCAACAGGCTGCTGCTGCGAGATGTGATGTCCACGGAGAGAATCCGGGCTCGCCAAGCCCCATTCCCGTGGGCAGTGCCCAGAGGCGCCGGCCGCTCCTCAAGGCCTCACCTGCACTTGTGGCAGCAGCGCACGAGGTCGTCCTGCTGCACGCGGTCCGTGAGGAACTGCGGGCGACAGAGGGGCAGGCGGATTTTGGACAGGAGCTCGGGCAAGAAGGACTCCCTCTGGTCTCGGTCGTAGCGGATCCAGGCCAGAGCAGCTTCAAACACCTGCAGGAGGGAGGCCAGGAAAGCTGCAGCCGTTTCCTTTCCCTCCATGCGAGGGCAAATTAAGAGATTATGAAGGGCGATCGGTGCCTGGGTTCCTCTGGGCTCTCTGGTTCTCCCACCTGGCACCATCAGTGCCCGGGCTTGTTTCTCCTCCTGTTCCACTGCATTCATGTCCAGATGAGGGCACCCAAGTCAATGCCTGGCTCCATCGCCCTGGCCCCATCGTTGCTGGTGGCTCCTAAGCACCGAGGAGTGACCATAAGGTCCCCAGCAGCAGCGCTGACCAGCAGGGACAGTTGATGCCACCAGCTTTCCCAGCCTCGACTCCAGGAGCTCATGGAAATGGCAGCTCTGAGTGCTGGGCACCATGTATGTGGCTGCCACCACATGGGACAGCCCCACTCCGGACCCGACCGCTGGACACCACGTGTGTGCACCCCGTTCTGGGGGGTCTTTCATTGCAATCGGGGGTGCTGGGGCAAAGCTCAGCAGGACCATAAGTGGGAACCAAGTGATGAAGCCTTTCATTTACTGTGGAGAGCACCAGAGCCTCCCACGTCACCCTTCCTTTGCACAAAAGGACAGTTGTGACCTTCTGAAAACCAACAACCAACCAAAACCAACCCCAAACTTACTTCCATATTGCCAGCTTCCCTAGGTGCTTTATTCATGCTTATTCCATGGCATTCTGTGGTTATTCCAGGACTAACCCTAAACGAGCCCCCTTGTTGGCAAATTTAGGGGAGCATTTGCTGGGAAAACGCCACGACGTTGAGCCCAGGAGCAGGATTGTTCCCCACTCCATCCCCACACAGCCAAAAGGTCTCTCTGACCCAATCCCCCCCAGGTACCTGCTCCTCAGACTTCACGTTGAGCTCGTCCCTAGCCACGAGCTCCAGGACGTCCTCGAAGGGCAGCGCCAGGTACTCCTCGGACATGGACACCTCCACGAAGTGCTGGTGGATGAAGCTGGTGGCAGCGTCGTAGAGCACGGCGCACATCATGGTTTCGGCAAACTGGCGCACCCCTAGGCAGTTCTTGGGGTGAAGCCTGCACGAAGAGGGAGAGGAGAGCACAAAAACCACAGCAGTTCATTAGGAGGGGAGAACTGGAGGCAGGGCCAGGCATGCATCTTGAGGAATGAGGTGCATGGGAAGCGGAGTGGCAACTTGTGGAGCTTCTAGAGAAGGTCCAGCAGAGGGCAACAAAGATGATTAAGGGAATGGAGCACCTATCATACAAGGAGAGACTTATAGGCCTGTTTAGCTTGGAGAAGAGAAGGTTGAGAGGGGATCTGATCAATGTGTCCAAGCACCTGAGGGGGAATGTAGGAACAGGAGGCCAAACTCTTCTCGGTGGTGGCCAGGGGCAGGCCAAGGGGCAGTGGGGACAAGGTGACACCCAGCAGGTCCCATCTCCACGGGAGGAAGAGCTGCTGCACTGGGAGGTGCCCGAGCCCTGGCCCAGGCTGCCCAGGGAGGCTGCGGAGGCTCCTGCTCTGGGCATCTCCCCAAGCCGCCCGGGTGCCACCGGGTGCCCCGTGCTCTGGGTGTCCCTGTGGAGCAGGGGCTGCGCTGGGGGAGCTCCAGGGGTCCCTGCCACCCTCAACCATTCTAAGATTCTGTGAAATTCCCCTGGGAGATCCCGCTGGCTCTGCTCTTTGGAGGCCCGTTCCAGCCGCGGGAACGTGAGCCCCTGCACGGCAGCGTCTCCATCCCTGTCACGTCTCTCGTGCCAGGGCTCCACATCTGGCACCTCCTTGTTTTTCCATCCCGGACAAAGCTGGATTTGAGCCCGTGGCACAAACACCAACAACTCCTCACTGTTTTTCACCCTGTTTCTTTGAGTCCTCCAGAGCAGCACCCGTACCCCAGCTTCACAGAGCCGTTCCCCGAAATTAGGGAGCCTTCATCACCACCCAAACTGCCCTGGCACTTAGAGGTGAGGCCACGAGAGGGGCCCCTGCAGCCCCCAGGCTCCCTCCACCCAAGCAGCCCCTGCATCAAGGCACAAGGAAGCAGGAGATGACGACGTTCACCACGAGCAGCTGCTGGGCCCACACAACTCGGCTCTTCTGAGACACCCATCAACAGGTCTTAGATGAAAGGGCACCAATTTGGGGAAACATTTTGGATTCCCAGTGGTTTCCATTTCATAATGGGAGCTCAGCGCACACGCTCCAGCTCTTAGGGTAGTCCGAGCCCACAAATTGCTTTGTTATTAATCAAAATGAGAGCTGTGCATCTCAGTCATTACTTAACGCAGGACAATCAGCTGCTCCTGGGAGGTTTGAGGCCTGAGATATCAAACCACCTCATTTAATCTAGATACAGCTGCCCAAAGCTGGTGGGGACTCATCTCTCTCCAGCTTGTCATTATAATCAGTACCCCCAAGGTACTGATTCCCCTTAGGGGAAAAAAAACAGGATTTTGCAAGAATAATGAGTACACTGGATAATTGCATAGCTTAATATTAAATCAAAGAAGGATGCACACAGATCTATACACTGAAATGCCTCAAACCTGGAAGAAACACATTTTTGCTCCCCCGATCCACGGTTTTAGGACAACTTCATTGGGAGTTTTAAGAAAACAGCAGAAGCAGCCAGGATGTTTTAGCTATTTAGTAGATCTGTTTAATATCACAGCATTACACTGAGCAGCTGCAAAGAAACACGGTGCGTGCGTTGGCGGGGAGGGGAAACAGCCACACGAGCTTCCCTGGCACCAGCTAACGATACGTGTGGAACGTTTCCAAGGAATAATCCAGCTTCTCCGCCTCCAGATCTGCTGCTGGAAGCGTCCTGCAGCCAAATGTGAATGAAGAACCTGGGCTTGTTCTAAAGCTTGGCCACAGCTTCCTTGTGAGCACCCCGGGCACTGCCCCGTGGTGGCACCTGCTCCAGGTTCGTTAGGGCACTGGCAGCAGAGCCGGCTCCAAGGGGGAACCAGGCACCTGGGAAGCTGTGAAGCCACTGCAGTAGTTTTGTCCCAGAGGAAGAGTTTCTAGAGGTGCTAGAGACACTGAAACGCCCTCGTTGCAGAAGGGTTGAGGTTGGAAGGGACCTCTGGAGATCACCCAGTCCCATCCCCTGCTCCAGCAGGGACACCCAGGGCCTTCTGCAGAGTCCCAGCTTCAAAACACTTTTCCTAAATATCTCCGTCTCACGGAGTGGACGGCCTGTTCTGCAGGTTGAAGGAGTCTCAGGAGATGGTGGCCAGCACGAGCCCTTACCTCTCGCGCAGGAAGGTGCAGCAGGCGTCCTTGATGTTCTGCAGCTGAAGGAAGCTGGCGCCCATCAGCAGCGACTGCACGTTCTGCTGGTCTATCGCCAGGTGACCGTTGTAGGCAAAGTTGATCAGAGCCTCCAGGGCACTAAAAGAGGAGGGAAAAGGGCAGAAAATCCATCGAGCCAATCCGCAGGACACGCCGCCAGCAGAAAAGTCCTCTCCGGGAGGGTTCCTGCTAACAGGGTAGGTTTGGAGCCTGCAGGTATTGAGGCTGCCAGGAGCTCCCGATGCGCCCGCGCTTCTTCCCGGGAAGGCTCGGAAGTTACCTGGGATCCATGCCCTGCATGACGATCTCGTCCTGCTTGCACTCCATCATGTCGTTGGTGAACATGGCGTGGAAGTAGGGGATGGAGGCGGCCAGCACGATGCGGTGAGCGCTGAACTTGTGGTCCCCCACCTGCGAGGTGACAACGGGAGGGCAGCTGAGCACCGTCGCCGGCACGGCCCGACAGAAACCAGGGGCTGACAGCCGGATCATTCCCACTCGCCAGCACGACAGCAGCCTGGGTGTTTAGAATTAAATTCCAGCTTTTGAATCCAGTCTTTCCCAATTTTTAGAGTTCCCCTGGGCAAAGATGAAAGGGCATCGTGGATGAGTGGCCCAGAGCACCAGCCAAGAAAAGCCGGGATTGCCGGGGTGGGAGCCGGCACAAAACTCACTATTCCCCCGTGCACACAAGTTTCCAGCTGGGATCCGCTTGTCCTGCACAGGAAACACTCACCTACAGCCCCGCATCCGCCTTGTTGTCCGACTGTCTTCCCTGTCACCCCAAGACATCCTCAGCACCGACAACCGCCGCAGAGGCGCCGCTGGGAGCCGGGCTCAGCGCCTGTCCTTTCCTTTTCCCTAGCTCTTCTCCCAGCTTAACGCTAAAGCCCAGCTTAACGCTCAAGCCTATCCTGGCTAGATGGGTGTGCTCTGCACCTGCAGCTTCTGCTCCTCAACACGAGCTGGGCTCAGCAGTCACCTCCTCCAAACCAAACGGGGCTCCATGGTGGCTGCTCCGCGGTCGCATCCCAAGCAACCTTCCCGAGCTTCCAGGGCCTGGAAGAGGCTCCGTGGCTCTCACGCTTGTTCTCCCTCCTGCAGGCCCTTTGCTATAATTTATCTCCGGAATTATAAGGGGTTTTGCCAACTAACAACCTTCGTATCCACTTTTTCCATATCTGAGTTTAGGGCCACGTGCTCCTTTCCCGGGGCTTTGCTGCTCTCCGCATCCTCACGTAACGCGGCGCCCGGAACGCTGTTCCCCAGGGAAACATGGGAATTGCAGGATGGAATCTCACACGGGAGCAAAGGGCCTCGACGCAAGCCCCGGCGCGTCGGTGCTTCGGCAGCTTCCAGGAGGCTGCAGCGCTGGAGCTCCCGTTTTGGGCCCTCCTGTTGGCTCGGGCTGCGAGGTGGATGGCCGGGATTACTCACAGGCTGCTCCGCTCGGCCGCATTCCGGAGGCTCGGGAACGCCCGACCTGCTCCGCGTGCTCCTCGGAGCTTCCCCAGCCCTTCCTATCCCCTGGGGAAGCAGCCAGCCAGGCCCTGTGCGCCTGGCCTTCCGAAAGGGAGGGAGAAAACATCCATGAGGGAGCGAGGGGGGAATTCAACACCCGCCTCCCAGCTGCATGGGATCCATCCGGCGGTCATTCCCATGGATTCCAGGTTAAGGAGAGCTGCGTCATGCCGGCGTTGGAACTGCCCGGCGCCTCAAAGGGGCAGCAACTTTCCCCTCTGAGGGAACAGGTTAGCCACAGGCTAACCCCTGAATCGCAGAAGCAGCAGCAGAGCATAAGAAAAAGCAGGAAAAAAAAGCTTTGCATAAGAAAAAGCAGGAAAAAAAAGCTTTGCATAAGAAAAAGCAGGAAAAAAAAGCTTTGCTGCTTGACTAAAATCCTCCTTTTGCCCTTTCTGAGCCGAGTGGAGTCGCAGGGAGAACCTGTTGTTTGGGCCTTGGAGCCGAGCGACGCCTGGAACCGACCCTTTGAGCTGCGCTCAGAAGAGCTCTCAGAGCAAAGACTGCTTATTTATCCCCTCCTGTTAATCATCCCAGCCCTCAGCACATCCCTAGCCTTATCTGGGATTATATGATACTCCTAGGATACTGTTTATACGATGGTCAGGAAGAGAAACCCCCCGGGAGCTCCCAGCAAACCACAAAGGCACCGGGAAGAGGCCACGACCCTCTCTGGATGCGCGCGAGTTTGTCGGGATCACGAGGATAAACCAGCCCTTGGGAAGCGGCGTTCCTGACCTTGAGCGCTGCGGAATGCTCCCTGCGGGCCCTCCCGGGCTGCTGCATGAAAAGCTCCTTCTCCAGCAGCCTCCCACGTCCCCAAAATGTTAATAAATGCCAGGGCACAATGCGCCTTTCTCCACCGAATGAACGGTGTAGGTGTGGGAGAGACAGCCGTTATTTTTGTGACATCGTGCTGCAGAGCCGAGAAGTCTCTGGGGTCCAGGAGAGCTCCTGAAGGAGCATCCAGAGGGGATGGTTGGCTCTCCCACTGTTCTCCCTACTTCCAAGCAGCAGCACATTCCGCAAGCACGTCCTCCTCCTCCTGGGATAGCCCTGGCACCAAAGAGCACCTCAGGCTTTGGTTCCTCTCCTCTGCTCAGCCACCAGATCTCACAAGGTCCCCTCGATCATCTCAAAGGGACGGAGGGGACACAAGGCGCAGGGCGTCACGTGGAGCTTGGTTTGCTGCTAAGGAAAGCGAAGGAAAAGCAATTTGATAATGACTTTGAATGAGTCTGGAGGCAGAAACCAGGAAGCCAAGTGAAAACCACGCACAGAAACGCACGCTTTCGACAAACATTCTGGGTTTCGCGTCTATTTAAAGCACCAGAAATACTTGTTATTAAGCATGAGGTGAAGAGCACAGAGAGGAACCCAAAGCTGTAAGAGCAAGTCCAATTATCAGCCAGAGCAGCTTGGAATGGCTGCAGGACACGATTCAAACAGGACTCTGAACCCAAAGGTCTCATGTGCAAAGAGATCTGCTTTGACAGCTCGTCCCTGGCCTAAAAGAGAGTGTTTTGCTCAAGGAGCTCAGAAACACCCCAGAATTAACCTGCATGAGCTGCCTGGGATCCCACTTCTCCTTCAGGAAGAGGCACTTCAGGAAGAACACGCTCCGAACGGAGCCTTTGGAGGGAGAAAAGCCAACGGGAGCATCACGTACCCGTCCAGCCCGGCGCCTCTCCACGCTGGGAAACGCTTCATCTCTCCAGGGCTGAATCAATTTTTAGGGATTTTCCTCGTTAGTCACAGGGTTGCTCATGGGTAGGTGGCATCTGAGCTATGCAGCAGCGTTAACCGAGTGCCAGGCGGGCTGACAGCAGCACAAACCTCCTCTTTTTGGGCAGAGATTTATTGGAGATCCGCCGTGGGTGCCAGCTTGGCACCTGGGTCTGCTTTGCCTCGGGTTGGCGCGAGCCGGAGCCGTAAAAACGTCTGCTCTGATGGATTTTATCAATGGAAAAATGGCTTGGAATATCCCTGCTTCGTGCTGCTTCCCAGGCTGCCAGCTTAATGGGTCCCTAGGGAGTGTTTGTGGCCGGGTTTAACACACAGCAGCGAACTCCAGAAAACAGAATCTGCCCAAATCTCCTTCCCCTCAGCGTGCAGAAAACACCGTTTTGGAAAGGAAAACACAAGCACCGAGCGGCGACTTCGATGCCATTAAGCAGCAGGCAAAGGTCCAAAGCAGGGAATCAGCTCCCTGGACACCTCCTGCCTTCAATGAACTGAAAATGTTTCTCTGCTTCTGCAGCATTTGTCATTTGAGGGCTCCAAAACACCTCGAGAACATGAGGAAATAGTCAACGCTCGCTGGAAAATAGGGGGAGTTTCTATGGCGCTGCTGGCACACGCGGGAAAGGCGCAATGAAGGCCCAAGACTTTCAGGCAGAGCATTGCTGATCCAATTAGCTAAGCAAAGAGCTAATTGCCTTTTACCAGCACGGCGCTGGCAGTGCAGAGGACCGAATGGAAGGTTTAGGTTCAGACAGGAACCGATTCCAATTGCGGGACGTCCTTGCAAAGCTCCCCTAAACCGAGCGTGGGCAGAAGCGCCCTGAGACCTCCTAGTGCTTCAGATCCAGCTCCTGGGGGAAAACAGACCGAGGGAAACAACGGAGAGAAATCAAACCTCACTTATCTTACCCCAAAACCAGCATTTTAGCCAAGAGTGGATTTCAAAGCCTATAGCCAACAAGTTAAGGTAGTCACCGAGCTTCAAACCACCGGACACATCCATCCACGCGACTCAAAACGCAGGAAATTCATCCTCCGAAAGGAGACCCCATCCTGCCCCGTGGCCCCCGCCGCGCCGGCTGAATCGACGCTCCACGAGGGCAATAATTAAAGCAAATAATCCCAACAAACAAGCCAGGAGTGCCGACGCTTGCCAACAACTGGAGGTCTGTTTGAAGAGCAAACACGGCTCCGGGCTGGCGGAATCATTTACAGCCATTGACCCCGGCGCTGATAGCGGAGAAGAGGCCACGGAACAACCCGCGGGCGCTCCGAGGAACCGTCGGCTCCCGCTCACAAAATTCCCAGCTCCAGCGGGTTTTCCTTCACGCAGGAGCCAGGGCGAAAACACTCGGGGGTAAAACTACAGCAATGACCTTGCTGGAATGGTCAGGATCCACTTCAGGGTTTCCAGGCCTTTGAGTACATCCCGATGCTCTTCCCTCCGTAGGCTCCTTGTGCAGGGAGACGTTTGGCTGGATTTACAGCCTCCTCACGCAGCAAATGCATGGAGGTCAAGGAAAACGTGGGGTTTATGTCAGCCCCGCCACCGGAGCTCGGTTAATAATAAGTCCCTCTCAGAGCACACGAGGTGAAGTCGAGGAGACACCTCGTTCCAAACGGCCGGGAAGAAAATCTTGGATGGGCTTCAACAGGCAGCGTTAATTCAATTGCTCCGGGACACGGAGGCCAGCGCTGAGAAATCGGACGTCAGGAGGCAGCAGTGGCAGCTGAGTAGGAAATTTTGACATTATAGTGAAAAAATAGCCAAGCAGCAGAGCAAGAAAGCCACAATTTCAAGAAAAGTGACATTTTTTTTAAGAGCTGTTTAAGTTTTGTAGCGGTGACAGGTCTGACAACGGGCTCTCCAGGTGAGATTTGGCTCCCGTGACTCTTGATATCAAACAAAAAGGGAAAAACCGTGGGGACAACGTGGGGTCTTCAGCCCCAGAGCTGCCAGTGTGGTAGGGGACACATTATGACACCTGGATCCCTTCAGGCCTCACGATTTGGAAAGTTTTCCCACTCTGTGGTAGAAGAAACACAAAGTAAAATGACACGAATAAGGCTAAAAAAGAGCACTTTGGTACCGTGGGTGGACAGGAATGGAATTCAGGGGCAGTTTGGTGGAATAAGAGTCAGGGTAAAGCCAGGCTGGAATCGTCTTGTTCCTGTCATCGTCATCCGATGGAGCCTCCTGCCTCGGGACACTCGGTCATCGGGTGAAGCAGACACGGGACACTCGGCCGGCTGCGGGATTTGCCAATCCCACTTGGAAACGCCAAGTCCTCTTGGATAGGGATTATGAAATCCAGGGCTGTCCAGAACCAACTGCTCCTGCCAAGAAATTCCCCGCTTGCCGCCGCCACGGATAGGCGTCTTGGGAGGCAAAAGGCTGGATAATATGGAAAAGCAAGCGGCCGAGCTCTTCCTGATAAACACGCGGGCTTGGGAAGCGACGTCCTGCTCCAGGACGATTGGATCCACAGGCAGAGACCGGAGCGGCGGGAAGCGCAGGGTTCTGGGAAGCGCAGGCTGGGAAGCTCCTCCACGCGCCGACTGAATCCCGGGAATCCTGCGGTGACTCGACGCTCCTGGAGACATTCCCGGCTCCCATCGGCGCCGGGAGCTGCGGGCACCGACGGCCCCATTGCGGGACACAGAGGGGTCCCCGAAAGAGCTGGCGGGGGGGCCCTGCTCCCCCTCCGCCCCCCAAAGGCGCTGAGGGAAGGGGGGGTCGGCCCCTTTTCAATGGCAGCAAACAGGGTTTGGGGGGCACCCCAGCTGTGCCCTTCCTGCGCCCCAAACGGTGTTGGGGGACCCTCAGCTGCCCCAAAAAAGGGGGCTCACAGACACCCTCAGAGCTCGGATTTTTTGCCCCCCACGAATGGGGTCAGCAGGCGGGCTCAGCTCCCCCTTCCCCACCCCAATCGCACCCCAAAGCGGTCGGAGGCTCCCTCAGAGCCCCCCATTTTGCCCCACATGCATGGAGCCGGTGGGGGGGGCTCAGCCCCCCCAAAAGCGGTCGCAGGGACCCCCAGACCGCCCCACAAGTGCCCGGGGGGGCTCAGCCCCAGCTCCCCCCCCCCGCTGTCCCCTCCCCAAACGGGGCCGGGCCGCCGCCCGCCGCCGCCCCCTCGCCGCCCGGCCTGTTGGGCACGGGGGGCCCGGGCCGCCATGTCGGGCCGCACCTTGAGGGTCACGTCGCACAGCTTGCCCTGCCGCCGGATCTCGCCCATGACGCCGTAGCCGCGGCTCGGCAGGTCGCCCACCGAGAAGTGCACGAGGTCCTCGGCGTCCAGCTCGAGGTCGGGCTCGGCCGCCGCCGCCTCCAGCATCTTCCTTCCCGCCGCCGCCGCCGCCGCCTTCGCGTCCCGCGCGCGCTGTCCCCGCCCGGCCGCCGTAGCGCGGCCCCCTCCCCGCCCGCAGCCGCCCCGCAAGCGCAAGGGCGGAAGCGGCCGCCCCACTTCCGCCCGCCCTGACTTCCGGCGGGCGCCATGGCAACCGCGTCGCCGGCCGCTCCGCCATCGCCGCTGTCACGGGCCGGTCCCGTCCGGTCCGGTCCGGTCCGGTCCGATCCGGTTCGATCCGGATCAGGTACTAGCAAGGCCCGGCTCCCCCCACCTCCCGAGCCTCCTTCTCCGGCCTGCGTCGCTCCCTCCGCTCCTGAGGCCTCTGTCCCGTCCCCACGGCCTCTTGTGCCCTCGGGGCTCTCCCTTGTGGCCTCGTGTCCTGCCCCCGACCCTGTGTCCAACCCGCCATCCCCAGCTCCTGCCTCCTCCTCAGGCCTCTCCTCCCTCGTCCCCTCCTTAGGGCCCCTTCCCCTCTCCACCTCTTGTCATTTCCCACCCCACAACCTCCTTTGTCCCCTTCCCTCCAGGCTTCTCCTCCTCACAAAGCCCTCGTCTCCCTCCCCAGGCCTGGCGGTGTCCCCCGCCATTGCCCAGCCCCATCCTGCCAAACTGCTGCTGCTCCCTGGCCCTCCTAGGGACCCTCCTGCCCCTTCTTTTGCCCCCCTTACCCCCCATTCCCAAGTGCTTCTTTCCCCAGTCCCACTCATTCCCCACATGCCCTTATCCTCTTGTACCCCCTTGGGCAATTTGGGCTGATTTTCCCCCCTGTTCCCCTTGGGACAGAGGTGACACCTCAAATACCCTGTGCTGGAGCTTCAGGGATGTCTTGCCAAATGGATCCATCACAAAATCACCATGGGAGCCCAAATTCTAGGGGACCGCACCAAAGGCACCCCCAAAGCAGGTTCAGCCTCCCAGCTTACATTTAGTTTTGGCCCAACCTCTGTCCTCCTCTGGCAGATAAATTCAGCATTAGAAATAAATACGGCTTTACCGCGGGTGAAAAGGGAGGCCTTTTGTCTCTTCTTGCTGTGAGCTGAGATGGCAATTGCATTGTTTTTGGACTCTTGCCTTGCAATATGTTCCAGGTGCTGAACGCTGACCGGTGGCAACCCCTGCTCTGGTCCTTGCTTGCGGCTCAGCCCCACGAGGATGTTTTCAGTGGTGAGGCAGCCTGCAACGGTTCTGGTCAGTTAAGTGCTAAACACGCCGATTTCCTCATAGCACCTCAATAAAAACTCCCAAAGCCAATGAAAATGGGCTGAGCTGAAGCCTTGGGGTGCTACTGATGAGTTGGGGAGCTTTCCACGTCTGTGGTGTTGGTGAAGAGTCTGATGGGGGGAATTTGGACACTTAATTCAGTGATTTTTGTTATGAATCTCAGGGCTGGCAAATATTTTTGCTGCTTTCCGTGATTTCTGTGCAAACCACGTAGGAGCAAGGCTCGTGATGGCCTCTGGGCCATCCGTCCTCGTTGCTTCCCACAAATTCTTTGTCCATTTGAAGCCTGGTCACCGCAACGCAGGTGGTAACAGGAGCCCGGTGTCACCGTGGACTGTCCAGGTTTTTATAGGGAATATCGTGTCCATATCACCAGGATGGAAGTAGGGAAGCACCACCGCGGAATTCCTCACATGCAGCAGCTCCCCCAATCTTTGAATACTCAAATGCTCCCCTCTTTTTTTAAATAAAAAGGAATCTTAGGGAGATTTCTACTTTTCTTTTTAGACCAGTCACGGCTGATAAGGTGATGGAGGAGATTAAAAATATACAAGTCTAAACCAGATGTTGTTGAAAGCTGTGATCTAACACTGAGCACGGGCGGTCTGTAGGAAACAGGCAAGGGAAAACACAAGATATTCCAGAGAATTTAATCAGAGGTCATTAAACCAGAGGTTTAATGAGAAAAATCAGAGGTCATGGTGAGAAAATCCAACTTGTCAAACCACGTCATAGGGAGATTCTTATACAGCCCTGTAAATGCTGCTGAAAACACAGGTATCTTTAGGCTCAGGTATAAAATATCTTCCTCAAAGCATTAGAAGCCCAAAACTCAAATCTGGAAGGACTGATGTTACAAGACAGCAGGTCCCAAGGGACTGGTGGGTGCAGAGACCTCTGCACACAGAAAACACCAAAGAAAAGAAAACCCAGCTCCAGTTCCTGCAATGATTTTGCCTTGCAAGGCTAAGAGAAACTTAGGTTGTCAAATAGTAACATGCCAGGTATAAAAGAATGAATTATGACCAGCAAGAAAACTGCTCCTTTTTTAACATGTTCAGTTTTCTAAGCAGAGCAACGTTGAGCTAAAAATTATCAGCTTAGGCCAAATTGACCACAGTTGCTTTTAATAAAGAGCAGAAACTGCTGCTTGACTTTCACCAGCACTTTATTTCTAAACTTGACTACTCTGTAGCTTGTGCTCTGGTAACAAATAACCCGATTTCCTCTTACTGAATGCAATATTGTTGCATATATGCTTTTTTCCCCCCTTTTTCTTCCTCTTTAGGTGAAATGGATACAGTAGAAAAGCGAGTCCACGCCTTCGTGCGCGTCAAGCCGACAGCTGATTTTGCTCAGGACACGATCAAGTTTGGGCAAGACAACAAGGTAGGGAAAAAAGGTTTCAGGCATGAAAGGTTTGGAGTTTTATTTCAGTTTTGTCTGTGGAAATGCAGGTTCTTCCATTCCTCAAGGCCACGCATGTTGGTTCCCTTTTTCCTGCTTGGTGCAAGTTCAACCTCATGATTTTGTTCCAATATTACTATTTGTATCAAGTGTCACCCTTCTTGTGATAAAAATCCTTTAAAAATTGGGAATCTGACGGATCCTGGAGGAATCCCCAGTGCTAAACACCATTCCAACCAAAGAGGCCTTCTTGGGATACAATTTCCACCTCCCCTCAGGCAAATTCCTTACTTTTCCTTATAATCCCTGCATTAATCCCCAGCTTTTCTCATTTAACTAACAATTTCTCTGGATGCCAAATCACAAACATCACTGAAATGTAAACAGATGAGCTCAGCCATATTTCCCTCTTCTAGGACAACAACCACCACAAAATACCATCAAGATCAGTGAACAAGCCTCATTATTTGCGCTCCGTTTTCTCCTTGCCCCCAGACCTTCAGTGGGTGGTTTTATTTTTTGAGAAAACGGGTGCTGAAACCCTTCCTGGTTATTGATATTCCCTTCATTTCTGGGTTTGCTTTCAGAGCATAGATATTTACATCAAAAAAGACGTCAAGAAAGGAGTGGTGAATAACAGGCAGACGGAGTGGTCCTTCCGGCTGGATGGGGTGCTTCACAACGCCTCCCAGGACCTGGCTTACGAGACCATAGCTGAGAAGCTGGTGTCTGAAGCTTTGAATGGCTATAATGGTAATTTGTTGTTACTTTGATCAATATTGGTTGTTATTTGGATGATTTTGGCCATCAGCAGAGGTTTGACTGGAGGAAGAGATCCTCCAGATGCCGCATTTGAGGAATTCTCATGTTTCCTCCTGAGCTGGTTCTTTTGCTCTGGAATTTCCCCAGGTACCATCATGTGCTACGGGCAAACAGGGGCCGGGAAAACGTACACGATGACGGGAACGACCGCGGACTACAGGCATCGAGGCATCATCCCCCGGGCGATACAGCAGGTACCAAGGGTCGGGGGCAGAACAGCGGAAACAAGGAAAAGACAAAGACATCGCTGCACCTTTTCTCTTGCCTGCTTATCTGCTGTTGCTGATAACCATGCAAGTGTTTTGACACAGCAAAACTGTTTTTATGTGCTCGCCACCAGCCTGTTTTCTTTCATTTTAACTAGCTGATGATCATTAAAGACATAAGGGAGCCTAAAAATACACTTTTTATATAAAATATGCAGTTTGTGGCGCTATGACTTTGCGCAGTGATGATGGTGCCTTTTCAGAGCGTTGGGATGATGTTGCTTTGAAATGCAGTGTTCTGTGCATCACTGTTCAGAGCCTCCTGCTTCTTTAGTGATATCTGCACATGCCTTAATGTAGCTATGCTTTATTTCCACATATAGAAGTTGTTCCTATTTGCCTCTTCTCACATAATACACCGGGTGCTCCCCAAATGTCAGAGTGCCTCATTCTCACCTCATAGACCCGTCCTCAATAGCTTGCTTTTAATTAGCCATTTTTTCCTCATGACTAATCCTCTACCAGTTTTATTTTTGGCACAAGTGCTGTTAGGGTAAAGTAAATTAGCCAGTATATGAAGAAACTCTTTTATCAAGTGATCAGGGAGGGCAAAGCCCTCAACATTTATGTTAATATTCCCACCCAGCCATGCTATTTTAACACCATAATGCTTTCAAAAGTGTTTCCAAGATGAACATTTTAAGAAATCATATTTAAAATGTTGTCTGCATCTGGTCAGCCCTCGGGCGACCACAACCGAGCAATTAGCTGCATGCTAATTGCAGATGAATTTATGGCTTTTCAGAAAGTCACAAATAACCCCTCTGAAAGGCTGTAAATAGTCAATAGCCTGTTTGTGAACAAAGATGTCAGTGAGAACGCCCCGATGTTTGTGCAGGTCCTCAAGGCAGCCGCTCACTGCGTTGATCGATTCGTCACCGTCCGAGTTTCCTACCTGGAAATCTACAACGAGACCTTGTGTGACCTCCTGGCCACCGTGACCAGCAGTGGGACCAGTGACGTGCCCTTGGCTGTGGTGGACTGCCCAGAGGGTGTTTACGTGAAGGGTTTGTCCGTACATACGGTTAACCACGAGGAAGATGCTCTAAATCTCCTGTTTGAGGCAAGAAGAAACAAATACTGCTCCTTGTGACTGTTACATTTCCTTGTGTACATTTCCTGTCCTCACAGCATTTCCAATAACTGCTTTTTTTCCTCATCCCTGCAAGCTCGTGGTTCCCCTCTGTGAGTTACCTGTGACAGTTTTAGCCTTGGGGAGCTCTTTGGTTTCCCACTCATCAAGAAACTGAAACGGAGAGGGACGTATCACCTCGAAACGAGCCTGGCCTGGCTCTTCCTCAAAAAACCCGCAGTTC